GGCGTGTTAGAATGAGCCGTTTTAGGGGGGCGTGGCAGAGTCTTAACTTTGATAAAGAATATCTCTTTGGTTTTGAGACTTTAGTCTTTGCAACTTCAGGGATCTTATCTATGCACAATCAGCTTGTAACACTCCAAAGAGAAAGGAAAACTTGAAATCGCATTATATGACCCCTTTAATAAACACCAAGACTTTTTTCAATTTACCAAAAAGTGAACTGAATGAAAAAGAAATTTGTTCTTGTTGAGTTCACATTGACTCTGAACTTTTAAAGTGGATTCAGATCTTTTTTTTTTCACATTTATGTTAAATTGTGGTCCATTTGCCGTTGTTCTGCAAATTTTTGTGGTTGAGAGTAGGGATGTCAATTTTCGATCATTTCCATGATCGATCGTCATTTAAATTAACGATCAATTAATCGATTAATTGTTAACTTTAATGCAGCAAAATGCGTCTATTGCAGCAGCACGCAGTCACCGGCATGACAGGATGTGCAAAAGCCACTCAAAAAAAACCCCGCTTTCTCACCCGAATTAAAGGGGTTTTAGTCTGAATAAAATGCTAGTAGCAGGATTGTAAAATGAATAGATGTGATTATGATCATTTGATAAAATGAAGAGAGCTCGTTTGAGATCATTTTACTTTGTTGACTGTTTCCTATCCCGTCACGGAGACCGCCGAACGCGCCTCTTTAAATAGTTTTGTGGTGCTCGTTATTGTATTTTAAAACACTATTGCAATGTTTTCAACTGACATTATGGCATTTAAAATAAAATTATCCCAAACGTAACTGTGGCACGTGTGGCTGTGCTGCGCAGTCAGTGAACCGCTTCCATCAGCGCTGCTGCAGCAAAACACACTGTTGCTAACATGAAACATTTTTATGCGAGTATTATGACCAGTACTTAATTTGATGGATCCTGTTCCAGAAAATGTCAGATTTTAAATTTTTGCGTTCCGGTAAGCCTATTTGTTTTCCGGCATTTACAGTGCACTAGATCGTGACAGTGCATGCTTGCGTGCATACGAGACGGAGCGAGCGCGGGTTTGGCTAGATGTATTTG